ATTATTTATTTATAATGGCCTAAATATAGTGGTCATGGGATGTGTGCAATTTATAGAAATTTTACAAACGTATGCTTCAATTTTACTTAGAAGAAATTTTAAGGAAAATTTTTATATTTATATTTTATTTTTCACCAAAAAATAAGATCATAGTAACACGCACTGTGAGACTCGAACTCACGATCACTATGTCTTCAATCCATCAATCATACCACTACGCCACGAAATCTTGGTAATCAAGTGAATAGAAATAAGACAGATCGTTGAATTTTGAAATAATTTTAGAAGAAAAATTAAATACATATTTTCAACATTTTCAATATGATGACCACCGAAGTGCACTCATACCCAAATAAAACTAGAACTGTCCAATAGGGACAAATAATATAGTGGTATTCACTATTGTCTAATACAGCATGATAAGCCCATCAGATATTGTTGATAATCATAAATTGGTTAGGGTGCAAGAAAATTAAGTAACCTTAATTAACAGATTGACACAGATTTCAATGATCTAATTTCCATTTCTTATCATGTTTAAAATATTGTACATACATCTCTAAGAGACTTACAGTGTAGGGATTAATTAAAACAAATAATACATCATATAATTCTAAACTGGCTGTGTTAGAGCTTAACAAATATCCATCTGCAGCTTTAAATTGTTTATTGCAATATTATGAAATAATGGAAATGCTACAGTCTAATAAAAAAAATTCAAAAATTAATTACCGGTATTCTTTAGACTATAAAATTCAAGTGAGACATGACTGCAATTTGTTGCAAATATATGAAAATTGAAATGTAATTTTTTTTCAATGAACACATATATATAATTAATTTTAATTATATCATACAATACTAATTCAGTTTTAATCATACACTAAAACATCAATTTGTTTTAATTACATTACACCAATTGAAAGATCTTTATCTGAACTACAGCCACAAGAACTCTTAATTAACACAAGCAACTATAAGGCCATTTTTTAGGTAAATTAAGATTAGATCTAGAGATGCTCTTGCAAGTTAACTCCCGACAATGAACTCATTAATTTCTCTCTAATTTGACATGCACATTTCTGCTATCAAAAATTCTCCTTGACCAGTGCTTGATAATTATGCCCATGGGACAAACTGAATTCCTCTCAAATCATTAACATTTGTTATAGAATTTGCTGTAAAGTATATGATAAAAAATAAGTTTTTACTTAATTTAGCATTTTTTAATAAGCCTAGGATACAAATATATTTTTTACATTTTTAAGGATTATGAAATTTAAAATTTTAAAGACTTAGTCTTTTTTAAAAAAAATCACTTAAATTAAAGGTCACAGTGACCTTAAAATAGGTCGTGACACACCGTCTACCCAAGATGCATAAATTGTCAAAGTTTGATGATTGTAAGTCTAATAGTTTTCTAGTTATGACCCAAACAAAATCACAAAAGAAAAAAGAAAAAATGTAAAATGCAGAAAAATCATCCAATCATGATGAAAATCCCAGGTGCACACCTTCATATGGTGAATAATAAGTGTATAAATTTTCATACAAATCCATCCAACACTTTCTGAGAAACGGTCCGGACAAAATCTTGTCTACAGACAGACGGACAGACGGACATGGTGATTCCAATATACCCCCCTAAACTTCGTTTGCGGGGGTATATAATTATTCAGAAGTTGTTTCTCTGGTTAAAAGTGGTCTTAAGCTACAGTTTCTCATTGTTTAGGGGGAACCTCAGTATTTACTATATTCTCCATATAAACTGAACGAATTTTATATCTATCATATGAGGGAACTATTAATAATTGAGTATTATATTTGTGTGAGTTGCTTAAAGCCATATATGGCGTATGTACAATGAAAATTATTAGACTAAAATTATGAGAACTTATTATTTGTATCATTACTTTATATAACGATAGAACTTTTCCGTAAATTACAAAATCTAAGTCAATTGCGTTATAAAGATATCAGAATTTAATTTGGACTCTCGGAATTTTCTCCAACACAGAAGAAAATACAAAAGATTTAAATAACACATTACAGAGAAGATAAAATCGTATTATTAGTTGAAATGATGTGTTTTAGGCATTCAGAATTGTATGAAAAGCTTTAATTTATATGTATTAACTATATTTCTTTACTTCAGTTGTATTTTTCAAAAAAAAAAATTTGGATCAGTTACGCCATATATGGCTTTAAGACTTGTATAAACTAACATTGTATGACAAAATTACAAAATTTTGGTTAAACAATGTATTTAAAGTGGCACAATGACGCACAAAGGGGAAAATTGACAAATGTAGAATTTTTGGATGACCTCTGTAAATTTTGTTCAATTCCTTAAAGTATTAGGTTTCAGAAAATTACAGGTTTCAGAACCTAAAAATTAAATTTTTATGGGGAAAAATAAAAGTAAAAATAATTTCTGTCTGCCCCAGAACAAAAATATTGCAAAATACCCTGGTACTTCATCTTCCCTATTATACGCGTGTGCAGAAAAGTGTTGAAGAAGTTTCCATAGTTACCATGGTCTCAGGTATCCACGAATGAATATAAGTAGACCAAAAAATTTGATGTAATCTTTTTAAAAAGTTGTTAGAACATATTTCTCACCTTTGCATGCTCCAGTTGAATTTTGTTTACAAGTTTGAGCTAAAAATAAGAGTAGCGTGACCGTGACATATACGAAACAACGAAACGGTAGATACAACCTTTGTTTTTCCGGCATTTATATTGTGCAGTCAATTCTTGCAGTTTAATTGTCATATCTTCGCTATATACTCATAATTTTCGTAAGTTTTTCTCTGTATGCTACAGATATCTTAAAATTAAGATATGATTTTGACTCACTGTGCCGCTTTAAAAAATCTCTACTAGAGTAGGCAAAAGTGATGATGAAATGCGACATGGCTTTTTTACTATAGTATGAATTACCAGCACATGAAAAATTCCCATTATACAATATTGGCAGACAAAATCTTTTAACAATTTGTTATCATTTTTAAGCGTGAGGAAGACTTGGTACTTAAACTAAAAAGTCAATATCTATATGTAGTATTTATATACCTTAGACACAGAGGAAGATGCAAATCGAAGAGATACCCAGTGGGGGAGATCTCATCGGGCCAGAACAATTGGAAGGGAAAGGGATAGCAGGGAGGAAGAGAATTCTCGACACACGAAATATGGTGGATATGTGACCGAGAAGATTTCGACGGTACTAAGATTTCGTCTGGAACTGCATCCGTTGTTTGCAAAACGAACGGGGTGAGGGAATATTGGCGTAGAGGGTACGAAGTATAAGGTAGAGGCGCTGTGTGGCCGTAAGGTAAAAACAAGGTATAAGGGTGCCTTATTCCCGTAGGTCCACCAATGTGCAATTCCAGAGATAAAACAAATGATGAAGGATTCCGTATTTATTAGATGAGTCTTAACGATGGCAACAGTTTATATATAAATCAACAAACAGACATATTAAAATGATCGAGTCGGATATGGCCGAAGTGGCCCCGGACTCAGAGTCCTAACGAGTCGGACGTAGCCGAGCTGGCCTCCGTTTATTCCAGACTAAAGATTGAAATTATACATGACTATTTATAAGAATGTACATATTGAGTAAATATATGACAAGTGTTGGCATGAAGTAAAATGAGTGAAAGATTCACAGGTATAGAATAATTAAATTAACTCAATGACTTTGATGTTTGTACATGAAACACAGATAATTACTCAATGTTGTTTTAAGAGTAACAGTTCTAGAGACATGGCACTCTGTCTCTTTGTAATAACATATTAAAAGTCTGAAAAGTGTCACTCAAAATTAAACAAAATTTAAGATTCGTCAAACTCATCTGAGATAAAAAATATAACAAACATATGAAATTAAAAGCAAAGTCCAAAATAAAATTTTTCTTTAGAAACGGTGAATTTTTCACTGTGATAATATACGTCCTCGTGTTTAAGAATTCGGAGAGTGTTCTTTGATGTTCTTGTACACACCGGTAAACACTAGCTGAAACGTAGGTTTGAGTATCCTGGTGGTCAACAGAGAAGTCGAAAGAGTGTCAATGAATGTTGTTCACTGTTGTTGTCCATCGTTGAAACGTTGATCGAACGATTTACGCTGAGCAGAGTGGTGTACTAGGGGAACTCGCTTGCTCTAGAGGTTCAGGATCTGACCACTGCAAAATATATGCAGCGGCCCCGGGCGTTGTTTTACCCTTAGGATTCATCCACCAATTGTGACCGAGAAGATTTCGACGGTACTAAGATTTCGTCTGGAACTGCATCCGTTGTTTGCAAAACGAACGGGGTGAGGGAATATTGGCGTAGAGGGTACGAAGTATAAGGTAGAGGCGCTGTGTGGCCGTAAGGTAAAAACAAGGTATAAGGGTGCCTTATTCCCGTAGGTCCACCAATGTGCAATTCCAGAGATAAAACAAATGATGAAGGATTCCGTATTTATTAGATGAGTCTTAACGATGGCAACAGTTTATATATAAATCAACAAACAGACATATTAAAATGATCGAGTCGGATATGGCCGAAGTGGCCCCGGACTCAGAGTCCTAACAAGTCGGACGTAGCCGAGCTGGCCTCCGTTTATTCCAGACTAAAGATTGAAATTATACATGACTATTTATAAGAAAGTACATATTGAGTAAATATATGACAGGTGTTGGCATGAAGTAAAATGAGTGAAAGATTCACAGGTATAGAATAATTAAATTAACTCAATGACTTTGATGTTTGTACATGAAACACAGATAATTACTCAATGTTGTTTTAAGAGATTAACAGTTCTAGAGACATGGCACTCTGTCTCTTTGTAATAACATATTAAAAGTCTGAAAAGTGTCACTCAAAATTAAACAAAATTTAAGATTCGTCAAACTCATCGTGAGATAAAAAATATAACAAACATATGAAATTAAAAGCAAAGTCCAAAATAAAATTTGTTCTTTAGAAACGGTGAATTTTTCACTGTGATAGATACCTTAATGTTTGGCCAGATGATGCAGTTTTAGAGGTGTGCATTTCTTGTTTGGTTATAGAATTTTCCTTGTAAAATGACTGATACATCAACATGCTAAAAAATATATACAAGATGATTCTAGTAGTTTTAAGGAGATATAGCCTTTACATTAAAATATATTGGAATAATTCTTTTTAGTACATTTATTTTAAAAAAAAAATTCTATGGTCCATTTCTTAGAAGAAAAAAGAAAACTCTATTTCATTTCTCTTTCGTAGCTTGGATCTGAAAGCAATAACTCAGTATGCAGTGACAGTGGAGTTGATGCAAGAACTGAAAAAGTACCTGAAATATGAGTATATTAAAGCAAACGAAAATGTTCTCAAGTATTTTTGTGTAATGTAATTGATAAAAAGTACTTCTGAATGAAACTATATTATTTGTATATTACCAATTTTTCTTCAATATTCTTGATAATGGTAAGAGTACTTCTTATAGAGCAACTTAGAAGCCCTATTAACCACCCCTGTCCTCATAAGCACCCCTTGGTCTTGATTATTGGTTAACTTATATGTAAAGTATTTTTAAAAGTGAAATAATATCAGAACTACCTTATCATTATGTATTTCTGATAAAGAAAGCTACTTAATACAAAATTTGTTTTTTTTCCTCTCATTTCTCAGTGGAAAAATGAATCTTAAGCATTATTTGGGAGGATTATCTTACTTAGACGAAACTTCTTAAGTCTATTGGTCTATTTGTGGTTCTCTGTAATTTCTTTCAAGTTTTACAAAAATACCCCTCACTTTTAGCAATTTTCTAAACTCAAGGGGGTATATGTGATAAAGTACACAAAACTCACAAATAGCAGAAGCTTAAAATATTATTCCAAATCACCAATTACAAGAGAAATTAAGTTTAACTGAGAGATTTTCTATTTCTTATGGTTTCAGGAAAATACCCAGTTACTGAAGAGAAAACGTGGTATTTCTGGATTACAACCCAAAGGAAAGGTTTGTTTCTTTTATGAATAAATAATTATTCACATTATAAGATAACTTGAAAATTAGAAGTCTGACATGCAATATCCATGTTAAATTTGTTTCATTTCTATCAGGAAAAAAAAACTAACATAGCTATTCATAGAGGTGAATTTGAAATATTATCTGTGCAACTTTGTGTAAACATTAAATGATAATAGAGAATAATTACTACCGATTTATTCATGTGTAAAAAAAAAAAAAAAAAAAAAAAAAAAAAAAAAAAAAAACAGTGCTGCACATCAAATGTGTTCCTAAGATAGGTTCGAAGTCAATAACTTTTTAAAAAAAATTGTAAACATGTATTTTTTTTTTTTTGCAGAGGAAAAGAAGTATTTCATTGCTTCGTCGACCTTCTGCCAATAGTCGAATTAATGCCATGAAGAAAAAAGTTTCAAAGGTATGTTTAACTTGAAAATAAACATGACATTCCAGACTTATTAAGTAATCAGGTGCTGTATAAACAAATCATAGAGTTGTTTTTTTGATACCTTTTTAAATTCAGCAAATATTTAACTGAAAATTTTTAATACTTATGTATGAGTTATTAGTATTACTGGAATATTACTGTTAGCTCACCTGCCTCAAGTGAGCTTTTATGATCACATTTTGTCCATCTGTCTGTAAATCTTTCACATTTTTTACTTTTCTCAAGAAGCACTTGGCCGTTTTAAACCAAACTTGGGAAAAGGGAAATTTAATTTGTAAAAACGAAGGGCCAAGTCTCTTCAAAAGGAAGGATAATCAAAATAGACAAAAATAGGGTGGGTTCATTAAAAAAATCTTTGTAAGAACCACGGGGCCTGGAAAGCTGATGTGTGGGCATCCTTAAGTAGTGTTGATTCCAAATTGTTCAAATCATGACCCCTTGGGGTTGAGCAGGGCCACAATGTGGAATCCAAGTGTTTTACTGAACCATAGAGGGTATATCATTGAAATTCTTCTTTGTAACTACCTGGCCAAAGAAGCTGCTACTTTAATAGTTTTGATCAGTGTAGATTTTTATTTAACCAAATTTTGAACCTTGAGGGGAAGGGTTGGGTTAAAATAAGTACTACAAAGGGTAAATATGGAAAAGGACAACATGGTCAAAGCTACTAAGGTGAGCGGTGTGACCTATTGGCCTCTTGTTAAAATATTCTTTCGATAAAAGATAGGTTTACTAAAAAATAACTGTAATATTTCAGGGACCGAAGAAGACTACAAAAGCAGCTGCAGAGGGTAAGAGGAAACCAGCCACTGCCTCCAGAAGGAAACCAGCCAACAATCCTTCGAAGAAACAGGCTCCTTCATCAAAAACAGTAAGCTGAAACATTTCATCACAACAAGGCAGTTTTTAGCTCAAGTGAGCTATTTTGATCACATTAAGTCATCCATCTGTCGGTCCGCTTGTCCATCCATCTGTATATTTCTCACATTTCAACTTCTTCTCCAATACCACTGGGCCAATTTAAACTAATCTTGCCAAAAAAAAAAATTTGGTGGGAGGATTCAAGTTTATCATATGAAGGAACACATATTCCTTTAAGGGGGGATGATTTAGAAATAGTAAAAATATTGGGGCATATTACAAAAATTGTCTTTTCAAGAACCACTGTGCCAGGAAAAATGAAACTTATTGGGAAGTATCCTCAAGTAGTGAAGATTCAAGTTTGTACAAACTATGACCCCCAAGGGCAGGACAGGGCCACAATGGCACAATGTTACTTCAAATGTGAAGGGCAATAAAGCTACAGGTAGTCAAAAAAATATGCCATCATCCTTAGTGTTGATTCAAGTTTGTTCAAATCATACCCTCTCCCTTTAAAGGTTTTGTTAGGATAACAGTTTAAACTTTTCAATAATACACTGGTTTCTGCTTTTTCAAAGCTCAGGTGAGCAATGTGCACATGGGCCTCTTGTTTACTTTTTATAATTACATAAAGTTAGGATTATATCTATTTCAAAGACCAACTGACATCATATAATTCAACATTAAGAATTTTTTTTTGAATTACCAGAAGTAAATGTCCTTCTGATATTTGAATATTTACTGATGTGATCATTAACTGATTTGATGTGATCACTTCTTTCAGTAGAAAAATTATATAGTTAAATTAAACTGTTTCAGGGAAGCAATGGGAGGACCATCCAAGTCCAGTTTGAGGGGTCTGGAGATCTGTCGACAGCAGCATCTATTCCAAATAGAGAACCAAGGTTCTTCAGCCATTTGACGGGGGACCAGCAGGACTTGGTGGTGATGCAAGAGGAGTTCTTTGGCCAGAACAAAATCTGCACTGCCTCACAAACTTGCGAAATCATCATCCTAGATCCAGAGGAAGCAGAGGAAGTGGGTCCACCAGAAATGTTGCAGAGGATATTGAAGAGGCAAGATGAACTCGAGAAGCTGGTTAGAGAGGTATTGTCTGAAGTCAGAAGGGGCCATACATAAGAGAGACAACAACTAACCCAGGATCTTGATCTTAGCCTACCTTCTCCTATTTCACCACTCTCCTCCTCATCATCCTTGTCATCGGGTGCCTCAAGTCCATCACCATTACCAACTCCAAGTCCAGCCTTTCTAAATTCACCAACTTCAACTCATGCAGTTAGCAGACCGTCAACACCCAGCAGCACACAGGCTTCCCTCAACCCTCACGGAACCAGCCCTCCATTATTTTCATCTGGTTCCTCAAGTCCTGCATCACCTTCACCAACTCCAAGTCCAGCCATTCTAAATTCACCAACTTCAACTCATGCAGTTAGCAGACCGTCAACACCCAGCAGCACACAGGCTTCCCTCAACCCTCATGGAACCAACTCTCCATTGTTGTCATCTGGTGCCTCAAGTCCTGCAACACCTTCAGCAAGTCTCAGTCCAGCTCTGTCCAACTCTCACACTCTGTCCAATCCTCCTGGATTTAGCGGAACACAGCCTTTGATGAACAACACTCAGCCTTCCTCCTTTGGAGCAGACTGTGGCAGCTTGCAGGTCCCATCCACCTCTCAGACTCAATCCAATCCTCCTGGATTTAGCGGAACACAGCCTTTGATGAACAACACTCAGCCTTCCTCCTTTGGAGCAGACTGTGGCAGCTTGCAGGTCCCATCCACCTCTCAGACTCAATCCAATCCTCCGGGATTCAGCGGAACCCAACCTTTGATGAACAACGCTCAGCCTTCCTCCTTTGGAGCAGACTGTGGCAACTGGCAGGTCCCATCCACTCAGACTCTATCCAATCCTCCGGGATTTAGCGGAACACAGCCTTTGATGAACAACGCTCAGCCTTCCTCCTTTGGAGCACACTGTGGCAACTGGCAGGTCCTATTCAACTCTCAGACTCTGTCCAATCCTCCGGGATTTAGGGGAACACAGCCTTTGATGAACAGCGCTCAGCCTCCCTCCATTGGAGCAGACTGTGGTAACTGGCAGGTCCCATCCACCTCTCAGGCTCTGTTCAATCCTCCTGGATTTAGCGGAACCCAGCCTCTGATGAACAACGCTCAGCCTGCCTCCTTTGGAGCAGACCTTGGCAACTGGCAGGTCTCATCCACCTCTCAGGCTCTGTCCAATCCTCCTGGATTTAGCGGAACCCAGCCTTTGATGAACAACGCTCAGCCTGCCTCCTTCGGAGCAGACTGTGGCAACTGGCAGGTCCCATCCACCTCTCAGACTCTGTCCAATCCTCCAGGATTTAGCGGAACACAGCCTTTGATAAACAACGCCCAGCCTTCCTCCTTTGGAGCAGACTGTGGCAACTGGCAGGTCCCATCCACCTCGCAGACTCTGTCCAATCCTCCAGGATTTAGCGGAACACAGCCTTTGATAAACAACGCCCAGCCTTCCTCCTTTGGAGCAGACTGTGGCAACTGGCAGGTCCAATCCACCTCGCAGACTCTGTCAAACCCATCGGGATTTAGCGGAACACAGCCTTTGATGAACAGCGTTCAGCCTTCCTCCTTTGGAGCACACTCTGGCAACTGGCAAGGGACTCCTAGTATACCAGCCTTTTCTAACAGTTTGGTATCCACAGCTGTACCTCCTGTGACAACCTGCCAGACACTGACAGAACCGAATAATCAAGCTCCAACAGATTATTTAGAAGACAACTTTTTTTCAAAAATTGAGGATATTCTCAAAGACATGAGATGTGCCAAATCCACCAACAACTCCACGCTAACCACTGGGTCCACCGACAACTCCCCGCCAACCACTGGGTCCACCAACAACTCATGGTCAACCACTGCGTCCACCAACAACTCACCGCCAACCACTGCGTCCACCAACAAGTCACCGCCAACCATTCCGTCCACCAACAACTCACTGCCAACCACTGCGTCCACCAACAAGTCACGGCCAACCATTCCGTCCACCAACAACTCACTGCCAACCACTGCGTCCACCAACAACTCCCCGCCAACCACTACGTATACCAACAACTCACCGCCAACCACTGCATCCACCAACAACTCACTGCCAACCATTCCGTCCACCAACAACTCACTGCCAACCACTGCGTCCACCAACAATTCACCGCCAACCATTCCGTCCACCAACAACTCACTGCCAACCACTGCGTCCACCAACAACTCATCGCCAACCACTGAGTCCACCAACAACTCACCGCCAACCACTGCGTCCACCAACAACTCACCGCCAACCACTGCCTCGACCAACAACTCACCGCCAACCACTGCGTCCACCGACAACTCACAGCCAACCACTGCTTCCACCAACAACTCACCGCCAACCACTGCGTCCACCAACAACTCCTTGCTGTCTGCTGCATTGGCTAACAACTCCCCACCATCTCCACTCACACCATCAGATAGCACCCAAACAACCCTTGTGATTCCTAGAAGATTGCCTACCCTTTCCCGAAGGTCAACAAGCGATCTCATTGAGATGGAATGTGAGGCAGGAACCAGAATGCTGGAGATTGATGGACCAGATAACATTCCAATCGGAAGGTACCATTTTTTCGTAAAAGACAGCATCCTACAGTCCCTGAAGGCCAACAGTAAAACCAGTGGAATTTTCCTTTGGAAACTCACAAAATCCTTATTCAAGGAAGAGGAACTCATGAACAAGAACTTTTATGGTGGGAAGGGAAAGTCAGCTTTATCTCCACGTAGACGACATTCGATGATCCATGCCTTTGTTGATGTCTACCAGACTAGGAGCAAAGTTGCACTTCACAAGGCAGTGAAGTCGGTTAACAATGGACTTTATAGTTTTAACCATTGCTAATGTGTTCTTTTTCATTGTGAATTTTGCCATTATGACTCAAAGTGTCACAAGAGACAAGTTCAAGCCATGTGAGACACTCACATAAATGTTATGATTACATTAAATCATTTTGGTAAATGTTGCTTGTACATATATTATAAATCATTGGTTTAATATTTCAATAGTGCATATAAAGTTTTATTTTGTTATACTTTAATAAATATATTATCATGAGAATGGGTTCTTTTCACTGTTTAGTTTGATTTGTACCAAGGAATCAATTTTATTCAATGAGATCAGTGCTAATGCGCAATGAAATTTTACAGATATACAAAAGTTCAAGTTGTCAGTACATCAAAAATATTAGGATCTTTTTAGATATTACCAAGAGATACAAAACATATGTTTGAGGATTACGTTGTCTGATCTTAATTAAAATAGGGTGCAAGATCCACTCACTACACTATTCACCAACATCTAATATCCCACAGAGTCATGTCAGAGGTCAAATTCTATCAACCAACCAACCAATGAGACTAGAAACTCATTGTACTATTGTAGAAGTAAATAAGTCAAGAGTTGTCTGAATTTGACCTCTGGCAGGACCTTGTATCTGATTTTGTTAGATGTAAGTGTAGCAAGTATGCGAGCAGATCTAATATCCAATTTTAATTAAACTGATTTCGTGATAAATAAGATTTACTTGTAAAAATATAAACGAATTAAATATTTGGAATATTCTGCATGTGTACTCTTTGGAATCATTAATATACACAATTTCCGTGGTTTTTCTTCTCTAAAATTGATATTTCAAAAGATCCTAAAATTTTCAAGAAATATGATCCTATGGTATCTTGGACAAATCCCTGGTAAGGTACCAGTACCAACATTTCAATGAAAAATTCTTACGAAAAATTATATGTTTTTGAGGAATGTGTTGTCTGACCTTAAATTGTCATGAAATAGGTCAATTTTCATGGAACTCAAACATGACAGATTAAATAGCAATTACTACAAAAAATCATGAGAGTAGTTGGATGCTTAAAAATTTCAAGGTCTTGGGGCCATACCGGTAATTATCATAAAAATTGGTCAAGTATCAAGAAACCCAAACTTTATCTTGTTGTCCTCAATATTTGTGACATTTCAAAAATCTTCATGAATAGCACTCGCACAAAACCAGATCCGCAATAAGCTCCTCTAATTTCTTTTCATAGTTACATGAATTAAGTAACTCCAATAGAGGTTTCCTACGATTAAATCTCTGTAAGAACAATAAAAATGAGAGAATCAGATTTAGGATCTTAGATTTTCAAACTTAAAGACATCAGTAAAAAGAGGTCAATAATCATCATGATCATGAGACTCTACCTTGTATATAGCAAACTATTAATCAGCTCTACTTTGTACATGTAAATGCATAGCATCATTGGGGAGGACATGCAAAATAAGAAACTTTTACTTGAAAATCTTGGCTGCTTAAAAAATATTCTATTATAGTATATTGTAATGGTTAGGGCCGTGGATATTGGCCTGGATAGCTCAGTGGGGAGAGCAACTGACTAGAGATGCAGGGGTCCCGGGTTCGATTCCCAGTCCAGCCATACATGTTCATTCACCTATACTCATACAGCCATTCACCTTTCCTGTTACAATATATTATACTAAATGGTGTATTTTTATTGAGAAATTATGTCTTTGAAGTTAAAGCATTTCTTGGTTAAAATTTGTAATTAAAAGGCTACAGGACCTTGTACCAATCAAAAGTTTTGAAGGAGTATTTTAAGGCCAAAAAAATCTGTTCCCTACCTACCTACCCCTTTTTTTGGTCATGGTACAGAAGTATATTTTCTTTATGTCATAGTAATTTCAGCAACATCATTTGCAATAAAAAAAAAAAGGAAAGGAATGTGGGTTTTTTTTATTTTAATATTTTCTTTTATGATAGTCTACTTGAGAACAAGTCAAAACTGAGAGTATCATTTGAAAAAAAAATCATAAGCTTTACTGGTCCCCAACCAAGATTTAGATAGAAATGTGTCCATTAAGCAGGCCATGGTCTGGGACATGATGGACATACCGTTTTCATCTGAATTCTGATCATCAGCGACACATGTACCTAATTACACTATTTAAAATAAATATAATTTGTACCCCATATAATTGTCAGATCCATTGTGTGAGTTCCTATTTTAGCTAATCAAATTCATAATTCCAACATCAAATGTGATTATCCATGTTAAATATTTGTTAAGGATACTTGTACATGCAAAAATTAAGTTTTAGCAGTTTCTGCAGGAAGTGAACACAATATAATATTCTGTCTGTACAGTACTCAAAATAAATAAGGTGTATTTCAATTACCCCCCCCCCCCCCAAAAAAAAAAAAATTGCAGTGCCCTGAGTGGGTTTGCATTCCAATGTGTAAACCAGTTAATGGGTTAAATTGACAAGACATTTATACACCTCTGCCAGTTTAAGAAAATTTCATTAATGAAAAACATATGCAAATCTTTATTATGCAAAACATCTGAGACATTTTATCATCTTTATCTAAAGAAAAATATAGATATCTTTCAAGATTGCATATATAAGGCCAAAAGAAAATATACTCTTGTTTCCTGTCTCCTGACCAAAAAAATTAGGGTAGGTAGGAAAAAAAAATATTTTGAGAAAAAATTTTATTTTAAAAACTCAATGAATAACAAGAAAATGATATGTTAACAGATTACAAAGCAAGTTTGTTAATAAAGATTTATAAAGTAGTAGTATTTTAGGAAAATAGTCACCCAAACAATGAAAATGTAATAAAAACTTTTAGGGTCGGGGGGTAAAATGTAGGGTAGGTCGAGTGACAGGAAACAAGAGTATTTTTTTATTTTGGCCTAACAACTATATACCACTCTGCCTAAAAGATATTATTTTTCAAGAATAATAATAATAATAAAAACAATCTTTGCAAGGAATAACAAAACATTTTTTGTGGGGAAAAAAAAATAAATAAAAAATTATCTGAAACATACAATTGTACATGTACAGCTATCCTACAAAGAATTCAATAATTTGTTCTCCAACTCTGCAATGTGTTATTAAATGATGAATGTATTATCAAGATAATGAAGAGAACATTTTTATACATGTATGAGCTTAATTTTATCCCTGAGTTGATGCATGCATTCAGTAACATGATGAAGTCTATCACATGGGTAATAAATATTGTTTGTTGTTTGCTTACTATCTTGATTCATACATTGAATTAAAAATGTCTTTATCTGTTACTAAATATGAAAGTTCAAAGTATCAGCATGATCAGATTTACTCAACAAAAATGCTTCAACGTAATTTCCAGTAATATTCCTGTAAACAGATGCATGCACAGATACCGAACATAATTCATAAATGTCATATAGCACAGGTACACATAATCCAGATATGACACAAGTTCACCTATAATTCAGTCGGTTGATGTTTTTAGGCACAGTCAGTTCAAAACTTTGTAGGTCCCCCACTGTTCAGAATTACATGCGGAATGACTTTATGGATATGGTCGATGAACTTGGCACATTTCACTACATCTAAGCTTTCCCAGAAGTTCTTGATTCCATTTACAAGTTCATCTTTGGTTCGTGGCTTCACAGTGTTCTGGAGATGAAACTTCATGGCGGCCCACACATTCTCAATGGGATTGAGGTCAGGAGAGGAGGCTGGAGTATCCATAACAAACTTCAGAATGTTCTTCCCCGTCATCCATTCTTTTGTAGACTTACTGCAATGCTTACTGTCATTATCCTGAAAAAAGGAAGGAGAGCATAAATTCAAGTGACAAACTATATAACCAGTAGATTATTTCAAATTTTCATATTAAACAGTTTTGTATGAAAACTTCAGGGGCTACTTTTGCCATAAAGTGCAATAGTCACTAGCTTACTTTGGAATGTCAAATGTACAAAGTTGCCAAATTAATCAATTTTGTTGGGTCACTTTCAAACTTGTCCAATTATGCCCAAATTTTGAATATGAACTTTGATTATTTTCATGACCTGTTGGGTCATGGCTAACACTTTTCACTTCATTTTTTATCAAACAGCCTACACTCTTCCATCTTTGCTCTATTGACCCTGTTGCCCCTTCATTTTACCTCCATGCCTTTAATGTTTTGTGGTAGATATTTTAATCATCCAAAAAAATACAATATTTTCTGTATATTTTATAGCAATATGTCTACTATTTAATGTGTTGCACACAGTAAACATCTGTGGGAGACGATCTCTTTTTTTTTTTATATCAAAAGAAAATCACAGAAGGCTATCTTATGGAGCTATTATAAACCATATTAACAATATGTATGACTGTGCAGCATTCATACTCAAATTTACATCATTTACATGTACCTGGTAAAGGCGGAATCCTTCTGGGAAGACTTTGTCAGTAAATGGCAGTAAGTTGTCCTCCAGAATCTTCTGGTAAATGATGGAATCCATCACGCCAGTGAAGATACAAATGTGGGTCCTACCACGATATGATATTCCTCCCCACACATTCACCTACAAGGAGAATTCAAGTTTTTATCAAAAATATACCATTGTATTAAGGGGCTGAACTTAGGTACAATAAATTTTGCAAGTTTTTTCTTTATTTGTATGTAAATATGCACCTTGAATGCTATGCAAGAATGGTAATAATGTGTTGATATGTATTCAACTTCTTATAAAAGTAAATCAGTAGTAAAATAAGAAAATTTTTTGGAACCATGACAGCCTTAATACACACTGTTAACACTATAGATACCTTGTATGAATGTTTTGGTTTTGGTCTCTTTGAGGTCTGGCAATCCAATGTAGGGGAGCCGCTACTGAAGTGAAGTAGCCCATTGGCACTCATTTCCACTCTCGTCTCATCCGTAAAGACAACGTCTTCAAACTTTTCTTTACTTCTGAGGGCTCGTAGGGACCACAACAATCTAGCCTAGAACAGTATAAATGGAAATTATTCATAAAATTCATGTTACTGCACCTAAAGCATATTTTTTTAAATCCGTCGGTTGTGTAGGCAAAGCATGCTAGTAAAAAATTTGTAGGGACCCATAAGTTTTAGGCAAACATCAGTCAGACCAAATTCAAGTTATAGTTTGTTTGGAATCAGCCACCCACCTTATTGAAATATATAAATTTTATTGGCAAAATATTGAAAATATATATATATATTTTTTACTCTTTAAGCGTCTTACCAGGTACTTGTTTGTTACAATTAGTTAACATATTAATTATTTATCGAAATAATGCTTTAAAGTCACTGACAGGTTTAATTCAACAACACTGGTCAATAAAACATTTTCTTCATAGTATTCATTATAGCAAATTGACAAAATGAACGTTGCCAAAATGTTAGACCAGTTTGATCAGTTGATGTGAAAACATTCAAGCAATAAGTTGAATAGCAGAGCATTATGCATCTCCAAAAGGTGAATAAAAAATTAAATGGAATGATACATGTTGACTGATACCCGGAAAGAGCTATTGTAATAGATTGCACATTGAACTTGATAAAATCTGTCATGTTGAAATTAAAAATGATTGTTCAGATTTTACTTAAAAAAAATGTTTTACCCCAAGTAGGGAAAATATGGCCTGTCAGTATGACAGGTCTTTGAAACATGTCCAAATTGATTTATGGTGCATGCTCTAGAAAATACCAAGCACCCCCTCCCGCTGTTCCACAAAACATCCAAAGTATTCGTAAGAAATTTTTATGTGATTCCCACAGTTGGTAAGGGTTGTCTTAACAAAGGGCTAAATTTTGAAAGAGAAATGTCATGAAATAAACAGATTCAAGTATTGTTAAAAAATATTTTTACAATAAACTACTGATAAAAGTTTGACAATCAAAGTTAATTGACTGTTAATAAATGAACAGATCTAACATCAAAATTTGATTGCTGTTGGAGTTGTAGTGCAACACGAGCAGCAATTCCAAACAAATATTTTTGATTGCTTGAATAAAAGTCAAGCATGGGTACAAAAAGGTAGCACACAAGTTGAAATACAGAAAAAATGGCTGTGTACACAGCATGTTGTTGATAGCCATTAAAATTTGCTACTGTATAGCAAAGTCGTAAAACATGCCATTTATGTCTTTTATTGAGGACTTTCTGAAGGTTGTTAAAAATAATTCAGGGCACATTTGGTTATTTATATCACTTCAAAGTGCCAAAATAAGGTGCATGTATCTGGTCTGACAAAATATTGACCAGTACAACAGAATATTTGACTTCGTACAAATTCGCAAACAAACAAATCTTAAGCAGTTAAGGCAAAGAAATTGTGGGCATATATGTGTGTTTAATTCTTATTAGAAGTCAATTTGTTATGAAATGCGTATTTTGATGAGTCCTTGTTATAAAAAGATAAAGCAATTCTTACCCTCTGATTCTTTCCACTGATGATCTGGCAGTATCTGGTGTATTTCCCTCGGAACCCCAGCGACTTCCTCAAAGAAACTACAGTTTTCACAGACACACAAAGTCCAAACCGCTTCCTTAATTTCACGCACAAAGTCTTTGCAGAAATGTCCGGTTGAACTTTCACATGGTAACTGATGAACTTCTTGTGTGCTGATCGGATCTTCAATCGTCCATCACGTATCGCCTTTCTCCGTCTGTGGAAAGCACCGACACCCTCCTCACGGTAGCGCTTCAGAAAACGATAAATAGTCATTCTACTCTTCTGTATCCCGTGTTCCTTCCGTAAAACACGTATAATGTCACATGGTGGGTAGCCTTTCTCGAACAGATCCGCAATAATCACGTTACACGTCTTCATACTGGTCTTCTTGGTCAGCGCAGCCATAACTGTTTTGAATTTCAGAGGGGGTTCCGTTGGTCACGTGACATAAAATTGCGATTGAATTTGTCAAAACGAAATTCCTTAAAAATCGCTAATTTCTTCGGTAAAAAGTGAAAACAGATAAAGTAAATTTTTCTAATACAAAAAACACAAAAATATTACACAAAAAAGTATTTCTTATGACTTAAAATAGCGATGCTGTTTTTTGAATTATTCACTTCCGGCAGGATAATCCTACTTCCGGTAGCATTACTAGCATTGACCTAGTTTCAAACCAGCATCAGGATAGGATCAAACCAGCATCAGGATAAGGATAACTAGCATCAAAACCAGCAAGCAAAGGAAGCATCAAAATCAGCAAGCAAAGGAAGCATCAAAACCAGCATTGATACTGTAACAAAATTATTTCCCTGCACTGTATACACGCAACCAGTTTTGGTAATAATTGCGTTACCCGTATTCAAATGAGCGTACAAAAGGTCCTGGAAATGGGTAATTCCCATGGAGTTTTGCAAACGCATAGTACAAAGGAATCCGATAATAGCCGGCTAAATTTAATCATTTCAATAGATTTAAATAACAATAAGAAAAAAGAAGGGGATACCAGAAAAAACAGTGCATTGGACTATCCAGACAGCTCTTGGTAAACTTCTTTGAGGTATGTTCGTTTTTAGTTTTTATCATTTTTTTTAAGTTGTGAAAATTTGATTCGACTAAACACTGTCACTAAAAATATATGTATTAAAATACTATTAGGCATTTGAGCCTATTTTACCAAAAAAAAAAAAAAAAAAAAAAAAAAAAAAAAAACTCTGACTTTCAGCTCGGTCGTAAGTTTTATAACAGTTTGTGCTGGGATTTTCAATCCTTTTCATAATTTACATAAGTATTCATTGTGTCAAAACCTTCCTGTTAGTTTAGCAAGCAATGGGTTATACTGAAAAGCAAAATAAACGCAACATTCTATTTAAGGTGGAGGAAAATATTTAATTTAGAATTATAATATAGAATTTTGTATCTTAAAATGATGGATATCTTCAATTTTGTAATTATTGGTAATGAAACTGTTGAAAAAATTTCATACCTTTATGAGAAGTTACGTTTGAGGCTGCTGAACGGAAATTTAGAAAATGCATGTTAACAAAACATATGACAAAAAAATGCAGTTTTAAGGATTTTAACTGTTCATCATGATATTCCAAAAAAATAACTTCCCCTTTAGTTTCCCTTAGCACGGCTAAAGCTTCCTGCATGAAAATGACTTAAGTACGCATTTCCATTGTTCTAGCTGGAAAATCTCAAAATAAAGGTGCTGGAGACTTGCTGATGCAAATATGCACTAAAATACTCCTCAACAGGTTCTTACACTATACTTATCATGTACATCAATGACAGTCAGTGGACTGGAAGTTCATTTGTTTCTACACTGCGCTAGGTTAGAGAAAATTCGACCTTATCATCTGAAAATGGGCATTTAAAAATGGCAAAATTAAATATCTATATCGATAAACATTTGCATCGCTTTACTTAAATGTCTGGGAGGGGGTGTTTTTACAGCCATTTAGTACTTTCTAAAGTTTGAAGATAAACCTTTGATATTTTTTATGGAATTTCTAATGTTTAGAAAAGGAAGTTTAGCCTTACTGTATTCATTTTTAAAAATCATAAAATAAAGAATTCAAATATTTGCTGATTACTTTTGGTTGCGTTTCTTTTGCGTTTCAGTATATTTCTGGTGGAGGGAAATGTCAAATGAAAAGACAAACTATGAGTTTTTGATGTTAGCAAGTGTTGTTTAGGTTTATTACAGTAGATATTAATATTTTTAAAGACAAAGATTGCTTTTATTTGTGGCGTGTTTATGCACTCCTTAACATTTTTATGCAGAACTTCTTGAGGAGTTTGACTGTGATCAGGGTCATTTACAACAGCGATAGAATGTTCCCCGTGCCGAGATCTGGAAACTTGTACCAGACCAGCTATTGTTTCTTCTCAATTATGGCTAAAAAGACACACAGGAGTAGCGATTGATTGTCAATTCATGAAATAAAATGATCTAATTAGTATTTAAAGGGTACAAATAAATAGCCGTGGATTTTATTTCAGTGTTAAAGAATGCGTGCACTTTAGCACGTCATTTGGAACCTTTTCGGTATCATTTTAAGCTTAAATTACAATATATCGCTTAATTATCAGTCAATGTCATCGTATAATCCTTATATTCAGGAATTTTGAACTGGAAAGTAAACATAAGCACATTACGAATTTAAATAGAGAAGAGAAAGATTGTGAAGTTTCATTGTGCACAAATAATGAATTATTCTGGTGTTAATGGATGGGATGACTCGCCCGGCGACATGAGCATCTCCATGTCCTTACTAATCATTCATCTAATTTGAAAATACAAGAATTCTTTCAGAACACTCCTAATGAAAAATACACAGTAAAACAAGAATATAATCTTTAAACCCTAATAAAATTAACGCAACAATCTTTAAAAATTTGAAGTTGAAGGTTGATAGACACTGTCACAATAGAATCTGTCAATGACAAACACAATGAAATATTCAATCAAAGAGTAAGTGTATCGAACTGTGGAATAACACTTGAAAAAAGGTATTGTATTAAATTACTAATGCACATAGACATGCTCTACATGTATGATATTTCATTAAAAATTAGTAGAGTTGATTTCTTGATAGTTCAACCGGAAATTTTTGCCAAAAGTTAGGTCGGATTCAAGAGCTAAGGATGCCTTCCATGCATATAAATCTCGTGCGACTGTCCTTGTGTGTGATGCTAAGAAGGCCCTTTGGCATTTAAATCTTGTGCGACTTCCTTTGTGTCTGACGCTTAAGAGGCCTATTTGCATGTTTATCTCGTGCAGATTGCTGCATTTGTTTCTTACACTACCCCAAGGAGGCGTATTTGCATGTAAATCCCGTGCAGCTGTCTGTATGTCTGTCGCTAAGAAGACCTATTTGCATGTAAATCTTGTGCGACTGCCTTTGTGTTTGATGTCAGCGGCCTCAAATACGATGAATTTGTTTTGTTATGAGATGTTTGTGGTCGTATAGCTTGTATAGGGAATATAAATAGACTATATACAAAACAAAACAGGAGCGAAGCAAACATGGACCTCCAAAACATCAAAGGAGGCATCAGATGCCCTGGAGGAGTGAACATCTCCTACCTATCCGGTCTCACCCGCCGTGTGCTCCTAACATACTGCTATTCATCAAAAATTTAAATTGAAATCATGCCCAATTACACCAGTTTTTAGGTCAAACAAGATGTGTTTGTGAAACACTATGCGCCCGGCGGCAACAAAGTTCGGAAAAAGCTATTTTTTGCATTAAGGTCAGAGTCAAGGCACAAGGTCATTGACCTTGGTGTCTTTTGGAAGAACCTGATTAGTGGACTATACATACCAAATATGGAGTCTCTATCTTTCATGGTTCAAAAGTTATGGCGAAGGTTGAAGTTTGCAGAAAAAAGCTATTCTTAGCATATAGGCGACAGTCAAGGTCACAAGGTCATTGACCTTGGTGTCATTTGAAAGAGCTTAATTAGTGGAGTATACATACCAAATATGAAGTCTATCTTTCATGGTTCAAAAGTTATTGTGAAGGTTAAAGTTCGGGACAAACAACAAACAGACAGATAGACAGGACAAAAACAATATATCTATCGATCCGGGCGATCTTTTTTATTTTATGCATTATGCCTAATCAATATATATTTATATTTTCAGAAACAGAAGATATGGAAAATCAGAAGCTCTCCATCATTGGTCTTGTTTTCTGTTTAATTTTATTAACCGTAGACATCCAAGGTGAAATCTATTCTACACCAAAATATATTCGTTAATTTTTTTTTTTCAAACAATGCAATATTGTGCAGATGAAGGAAAAAAGCTGTGTTACAGACAGATAATACAAACAAACTTTTGTAAAAGGAATGAAAATAACAGCTTAAGTCATGTTCTTATGAGTAAAATGAATAAGTTTCACCGGGTAGTTTTAATTCTTTTTATTCAAATTGTCGCCAGAAAAAGAGTTTGAAGTGAAAAATATTTGTACAAATTAATAAGGATGATTTCAGAGACGCAGAATTTTGAACATCACAGAAGGTTTACAAATTTTTTATATTCTAGAAATTTATTACAATATTTGCATTATTTTAAATGAAACTAGGCCAATATATACATGTATATATTCCAATCCAGACATCCATTTTTTTTATTTGCATAATCTGTCCTTAAGTGATTATAAAGAACAGAATCAAATTAATTTCAAATAAAAAAAGAAAAGAAAACAATATACCATCTTTCTCATTCTTAGGAACTTCTGCACAGACGTGTTCCACCAGTGCAGTCTCGACATGTGTCACAACTTACTCTAAGGCTGTTTTTGCTGCTGGTAATGATTATGGAAAAATTTGCAGGTTATCCTTTTGTTTGTTTTGTTTGTTTCTTGGCATATATGATCAGAACCAATTTCGAAAAATATTCCCATTATTACAGATAATTTTCATATGATGTATTTTTTCTCCGACTTATTTCACTTGTCAATCTGGTAATTTTTCCTCTTTACCCAATTTAGGAGGGTGTAAGAGAAATATTTGTAAGGAAAAATCTTTATTGCATAAATGGTATTATATAGAAAAGGCTTTAACAATTTTTTCAGGAAAACAATGTTCCCTTCGCCACAATTGCCAGTATAAAAAGTTAAAGCTTTTTGAATAATGAAGGAATTAGGGCTTGTTGACCCCCAATGTGGTGGCCAACGTGCAATAACTCTTGCCAATTTAGGTCCACTGAAAAAAAATCTATACGGCCGACACCCTATATGAGTTGAGAAAAAATCAGACAAATATTTTAACGTTTCATTGCATCCTATCAGCTACACTATATTAGAAAAGTATTGCTAAATGTAAGAACGAATGTGATTCGCTAACTTTACTACGTGTTCACGTGTTTTTCTTGCCGATTCCAGTCTCAAAATAGATAAAGCATGTATTTACTTCGTACTACGGTGAATGTTTTCAGATTTCTAAATAATATTCACATAATTGAGTTCAAGTTTTTATTTCATTTTATTTATCTTTTAAATAAAGAACTATATGCGGTATAATGCATATATTTGCCCGCCCCCCCCCCCCCCCCCCCCCACACACACACACAAAAGTCAAAAGTCAAATTTCGAAAAACTTCCTGAAATGTGCTGAATTCAATAAATTGTATAAGAAATATAAATTAACAGAACATATTATTGTTTCAAAGTAGTTCATTCACAATTTATGTTTTTATGACGTCACAAACTAGTTTGATTTTATATCCTTTTTCAGAAAGAGGACAAAATGGACAAAATTTCAACAATTTTAGCTTTAAAATTTATAGAGCGCAAGTTTGTTCAGGAACAATATTTACATATTTCATTAATATTATCATTCTACACATTATATCAAAATATTGAGCCTAAACACACATGCGCTCGGTGACTTTTACTCAAAATATCAACAAAATATGTACATTTTTCTGTAGAATTCATAAAAAACTGAAATTTACGTCATGTTTGTGACGTCATTTCGTACATATGACGTCATTACTTATGAAAATATTCAGTGCGTTGAAGTCAGCATATACCCCCCTATTTAAGAACATAATTAAATATTTCTCCATCAAAGTTTGGTTTGGGGGGCAAATATCGGTTATTACCGAATAAAGTTCTTTGATATATTTGCAAAATAAGATGGAGTCCTTATTCTGCTAATCTCACTTAGCACTATATACAAATGCTAAAGGCGATTCAATTGAATTAAAACTTATGGTGTATTGTCATCTATTTCACTCTAAGTTCTTTTAAAGTTGAAACCTTAGTGAAAAGGGGATATCTTTAAAATCTATTGAAGGAAGTATATGGAGATAACGAACAGTATTCAATCAATATCAAAGTCCATAAAACAATACAAAATAGGAGCAGAGCAAACACGGACCTCCAAAACATCAGAGGTGGGATCAGGTGCAATGGAGGAGTTAGCATCCCCTACTGACCGGTCACACCCGCCGTGTGCTCCTTGTCATGATCGGGAAATAACTGAAAAATCCGTCGTCAATTCAGTGTATAAATAATTGACTAAAATTAGTATGGAAAACTTCAGTCAGCATTTGTCTCAATGATAAATTGTATTTGTTGATAAGGTCATTGTATCGACCACAGAATTTACGAAATGATGACTTTACACGAGACTGTTGATATTCTTGTTTCATCAACTTGCTTGTTTATAATTTTACATTCATACGTAGAGAAGCTCTTGCGGATAGAATCAACTGAGAAATAGACTCCGTATGCAGGTGATGTAGGTATATTGCTGCATAAGTAAGGGGAGTTGCATTTGACGATAGAAAAGTCATCACGTTTATCATATAACTTGGTTGTTAGATTACAATTAACGTCTTTCAAGTAAAATATCCAAGCATGAAACAGATGTGTCAGACTCTGTTGTATCTTTTATCTCAAGCTCACCAGGATATATCGTATTGAGGTAGGAATGGAAATTACCATTGTTAATTGACAATACGTCGTCGATATATCTACATGTCGAGTTGAGGCTACAGCAAGTGTCTTCTTCTTTTCACGCATTAGATTTTGCACAAATTCTGCTTCATATGAATATAAAAATAGGTTTCTTAATAATGAAGCGTAATTGGTACCCATGGGAATTCCAATGGATTGTTGGAATACCTGGTCTCCAAAAACCACATAGATATTGTCAATCAGAAACTCAAACATCTTTTGATGTCAACTTCAGTGTTCTTGTGTGTGCAATCAAAATTTGTTTTAACAAAATAATTTTGCAAATGCCCGATGACCAGGTAAGTAAATTAACGAGTTCCATTTTTATTGAAAAAGCAGCTGTCAATGACATCAAAAGGCCTGGAATAGTTGAAAAATAAGTTTTTAAGCTGTTGATTTTGGTAAATTCTTGTGATTTCAAACTGCCCAAAAGTTCTTTGGAGATTTTTTAGTATCCACATCTGATTCAAACCACTTCTTGAATATATTGTTGCGCACTACTCTTGAAGTTTTTACTTCACTACTGTCAATATCTTAGTGAGAAGAAACGAAAGAGGTTTGGTTGAACATTTACTGGAACCCGCAATGTATGAAATAAAGTTCTAATGAGGCACTCTTCCTTAAGACTTCTGGAGAATACATGTAAATCCTTTATGATTTTGATAATTCTTGTATTTTAGTGAAGCCCACAAGTACCTAAACTGTCTAGACAATGTATTGACTGCCTGTGGCGCACAGGACTCGACAACTAATTATGCAAAACAATACGTCGACCTAGCAAGGCAAGCCCTCAATCAATACGCATGTGGTGAGTATCTTTAAATACGTTAGCTTGCCAAAAGATAATGATAGTAAAATTTTTACTACTGTTGAAGTACACATTTTCGTGGGGATAACATTTCGTTGATTTGTCATTTAAAAAAAGATTCATAGGCATTTAATTTCGTTGTTTTGAAAGTAACCTTATTCAATAAAATATATAGTCATATAAAAGGATGTATTCACTTTGACAAAAGAATTGACCTAAAGGAGAGAACAATTTCCCGGAAAAAGTGACATTTAAGAATTAAAATTTATTTGTTGTTTTCTACCGTATATATGTCTAAATTTGTCAAATTTGTATTTCATATCTAAAATTTATTTTTTACAACTTTACAATAAACCTCCAAAGTTGGTCGAAGCATCATTTTGTCCGTTAAAGCGTTGATTTTTGCATGAATTTTGGCCTAGAAGTCCTTTAGGGGGCCTGCCCCTAAATAAAATTGTGATATTTTGAAAGGTTTGTATGGAAGAAATAATTTCAGATAGGATTTTTTTAGGGGCACCCCTGCCCTAGGATTGAAATTCGCAAAAAACCTACAAAAAATAAGGAAACCTGGTTTTAATAATCCGTTTAAAATTCATGCCTACAAATTTATAGTCAGACTAGCTCAGTTGATATATGCGCTGACTTTTACACCGTGAAAACTAACATGCTATATTTGGGGAATCGAATCCACCTGGTACCACACTTTTAAAGTTTTAAATATTCTCCTTTTCGAAGACAATTTTTAATATTTTTTATAAACTTGTGTATTTTCCTTCAATGATCTATCCTTTATGTATGCCCATTCTTGATATAAGAAACACTAAAGAGATATCAAATCAAAAAATCCAAATGAATGTTCAGTTGTCAGTCAGGCGAACAAACCTCACTTTCTTCGAGGACAAGAATAACTCACTCTGTGTTACCCAATACAGGTTTTCTTGGCAGCATTGAGTTGATTTTGGCTACATATATCAGTGACTGCACTCCTTCGGATTTGATATAGGCCTATGTAACATGTATAATTTGCACATATTAATGACATGTTTTATTATATTCACGGATAAAATAGCCTAGACATAAAGGATAAAATTTCACAGGCAGTAAACATTACCATTATGCACATTGAGAAGTTAAAACAAATATCAATTATTACATTTTGAGATAAAAACTCAGGAATTCAATAAAAGAGCTGCCTCTACACCTCTATTCGCTGAAAGAAAAGATTTAGGAAAAACAAATTGTTATATGTATTCAACCTAATGCCATTAACCAGAACGGAAATCGACCAGGTTTTTGTAGAGAAAAAACAAAGCAAGGTCCTATAGGTCAAATCCCTATTTATAATGAAGTGATCCTTTCGTGTATGATTTAATTTCGTTGATAACTGTTAACAACAAAATTAGCAAAATTCAATCCTCCACGAATATTTTTGCTTTTACAATATTTATTATATGCTATATGAAATCATAAAATAATTATGATAATATAAACAATAAGAAAATAAATTATATAGACTGAAGTAATTATTATACTTAATATACATTCTAGAAATTTAATTTTTTTATTTACAATGTTATAAAGTTTTCAATTATCTTGGTTCTAAAATTGCACCTACTTTTTGTTCATTACAGGTTCAGCTGGCCTCATTTTTAATCTGCTGGTCATGGCATTAGGGCTGGCGTTTACATTCATTTTCAAAACATTCAATGATTGAAAATCATTGAAACACGTTCAAACAAAATTTTAAACGCATAATCTAGACTTTAACTACTAAATGAATTAATCTATGTTGTCAAAATTAACTTACTTTGATGTGTATGCAAAATTCGTATGATTGTGAAAAAAAACTTGGAATGTATTTTTGCCGTGTGTTTTTATAAATTCTGTCCTGGACAATATAACATACATCATAGAAAACATATGCCATTATTCATGCCTTTCTTTCAAGATTGAATCTTTAATAAATTGATAACCATTTATGTGACCACGTTTCATCATTCAGTTTCAGCGTGAGAAGCTGGAAAACATCGATACTGGCGAAAATGTATTTAAAATGAATGGTAAAGAAAGTAAATTCATGTAGTAGTCAAAAGTAAATCGGAAATCAGGAATGAAGTTTGAAGCTTCACTAACTATATAAAGGTACTGTAAAACTTGTTAAAGCTATATATGGTGTATCTGACCTTTAAAAAAATACTAGATTAAGTGTAGATTTACATTGATATTTGTTATTTATGCTCAAATTCAAATTTTCATCGATTTAAAACTGATATATCGCCACGTTTCTATGGTTAAATTGACTTTAAACTGTGACTGCTATTTAATTCAGATCCAGAAATAAATCGATTAATGTTTTAAATCTGTGATATCTTTGAAACGCGATTGAGCGATTGATTTTGTCTGAAATGTAAACAGTTAATGAAACCTGGACCCCTCCCCTAATATTTACAAGAGAATGCACGTGCCCAAAGCAGCTAACTTGTATGTTGAAGAAAGAATTTCAAGGGCACAACTCTAACAGAAAAGTACTATAGTAAGAAACATCCTGTCCATAGGATCATACGATATGCGATATTTCAAAATACGAAGGACATACTTAGAAATGTGGTTTGAAAAAACAATAAGAAATTGAATAAAATTGTAACATTCATGTGTCCAGACAATCGTTTGAAGATGATTGATTGTATGTAATTTTACGTCACATTTGAAAATTTTTCACTCATATACTGACGTCAGCATATACCGGTGAAGGGCTTGAAACCTTGATCGTTACTCGGCACTCAGGAGCATTGAGCAGTGAGGAATCTTTATCGCACGGACGTTTGCAGTGATACGGGCCTTGATTTAGAAGATCTCATCCGAAGGATCCGCAACTTTCATTTATAGTGCCGAGCGCCTGCTTATGAGAACAGCTGCTTCCCATTTTTTATCGACTTAGGCCAAGCGCCGCCGAGATTCGACTCAGGACCTCTCAATAAAGGCGCATGTGCTTTGCCGACCGAGCTACCGTGAACGGTGACAATATTTAAAAAAAAACCCAGAGCCAAATAGAATCAGGTGGGTGTTGTAGCCTACGCGTCTAGTGTTTCTAATACGTCACTGTGCTTGAAATTTAGTATATAATAGATTGGCCTGAGCTTTAGAGACAAAAAACAGTTTTTAACTTCCTGCATGCGTAGTTTTTTTTTTTTTTTCAGTATGAAAGTAGATTAAGTGACTGTTTGGAAAGTCGCTGCAAAGATTCCTATTTTTAGAAACAGTTGTGAAATCGTACGACGTACATTTAAGATCATTTTGGTATAAAATGGCGTTTTGCTACGAACTTAAGGTAGGACTAAACACACCTGGAGTCTATTTTAACCCATTTCTTAAAAAGTACTGGAGAAATAAAGAATAATATTACTATACTGGCAAGAATGAATGATCCCTGTTCAAAAAATTAGTAATTTTTGGCATGATTGCATCATATTTTGTGAAAAAATCAGAGAATCCAATATATTGGTCATTTGGGAGCTTACATTTTGGAATGTGTTTACGCTATTTAAGTGCAATAAACGAGCATGTTACAGTCTGTTATAAAATGCAGTGTAACTTTTGTTCCATAAATAGTAGATTGCTGATATTTGGACACATATATAAGGAGTCTTCATTTTTTATGTACTACAAAGGTCAAGGTCACATCAAGAGGTCAAAGGTCAAATATTGTGACGTCATCTAATGAATCTTTCCATTTATTTGCCATTGAATTTTTTTAAATCGCCGATATATCTAAAATCACCGGTTCAATTTTCTTCATTTTTACACATTTTATTCTAGGACCAATTTTAGTCTTTCTGTTGATTTTTTGTAAAAATTGAATTATACATTTTCTCTTAAGAAAACTTAAACTGTCGGATTATTACATTTGAATTTACAATTCCAACGCTACCTATGTTCTATTTTTACTTAATATTTTACTCAAATGAACAGTATCAATATGACTTACTGATTTAAAGTAATAAAAAGGTTATCCTTATTAAAAAGTATAGCACAAATTTGCAATAGATCAGTTGATAATTTCTAATATAAGGCTCATTCTCAAGTCGAATGTATGATTTCAAAATCTTCTTACAGGGGTGTGATAGGCCATATTTCAAACTATGTGGGCAAAAATGTGTGGTTGAATTTCTTTCATATGATTTATAAAGAGAGATTTTGCATCCTAGAACAAAATATCAAAGTTTCAGAAAAATTGAATTTGAGGAAAAATTGGCTTATCTATTGTATCCTACCTTAAAACAAGCTAAAGACAACAAAAATGCCTTGAATGAAACCCTTAAAATAACTCCTTTACATATACACATATTCTTATTGAAATATCTCAAACATTCATACCAGTTTATAGTAAACTTTTACAAAGTCGACAAAATGAGAGAAGAGGAAAAAAATAAAGTAAATTCAACATTAAAATTTGAACCTAGGTTCTTAAGGTAACATATATTTATTTTCTTTCCACTCTACATTTTGTTAATATCAGAGTTAAAAGACTCGTCAAATTTGTGCAAAACAATCCTTTCAAGATCTATGGTAAACCGGGACCAGGAAGTGAAGCGAAGAAGTTTCTGGAATTCTTTAGCGATTTGTATAGGATAACACAAAAATATTTGTGCTTTCAACAATGTTCAATGCTTAATTGTTGTTATTTCATACCCATCAGTAAGAGATAACATCACGGAACATTTGTGCCATTTTAAATGTTAATCTTTCAATTAAAAGATTATCAAACTTTCAGGACATTTAAAGAGTTTAAAAGAATAAAACCCAAAATGTAATAATAATTATTAAAGGATATTAATATGGTATATTAACAGACTTCATTTAGAACCATGCAATTAATCTCGAGGAACAAATTGCAGCTCGTGTTCCGACTAGAAATTAGTTGTATGCAACAAATTTTGATTGTTGACACAGGATTTTTGATACACTATATTGTGTTTAAATTGTTGTTGTATTGATGAGTTCTTATTCACATAAATCATTTAGAATTAAAAGCAACAGTCATATAGTGATAAATCAGATTACACGTATTTCTGCAATTTTATTGTGACAAAAGTGATGAATTTATAACCAAAATCAAAAGATCTGGTATCACTTAGGTGCAATATTTTTTAAGAAAGCAAACTTAAATAAATTCATACAAGTTTGGAAAGCCAACATTAGATAAAAAATTCAAATATTTGCTGATTACTTCTGGTTGCGTTTCTTTTGCGTTTCAGTATATTTATGGGGGATGGAAATGTCAAATGAAAGGACAAAGTATGAGTTTTTGATGTTAACAAGTGTTGTTTAGGTTTAATACAGTAGAAATTAATAATTTTAAAGACAAAGATTGCTTTTATATGTGGCGTGTTTATGCACTCCTTAACATTTTTATGGGGAACTTCTTGTGGAGTTTGACTGGGATCAAGGTCATTTACAACAGCGATAAAATGTTCCGCGTGCTGAAAACTGGAAACTTGTACCAGACTTGCTATCGTTTCTTCTCATTTATGGCTGAAAAGAAACACGGGAGTAGCGATTGATTGTTAAATCATGAAATAAAATGATCTAATTAGCATCTAAAGGGTACAAATAAATAGCCGTAGATTTTATTTCAGTGTTAAAGAATGCGTGCACTTTAGCACGTCTGTGGCAACGCACTTTGAAAAAATTACGCACTTTGAAAATATTTTTCAAATAGCGTTAAATTTTAGACCAGCTCAAAAGTTTTTTTCAAAGTCCGTTAAGAGTTTACATCAATATAATTTACCATGGAGACACTGAACGCACTTAATAAAAAAATATTTGAGTAATGGAAAGATTTTATTTGTTATTCATCTTTCAAAAAACGTATTAATTTATTTACCGGTACTCCCGTCGAAAAGAGAAGACGGGTAGAAGATCCCTCAGTCCAAATCTTTATCTTTCCAATACATAGGTGTCGGTAACAAACGGGGGAGGGGAGCAATAAACTCAAAAAGGGTAAGCGCATTTTCAATGCTTATATGATGTATATATCTTTCCAAAATAAAAGTGGAGCTTGGCCCCCTCCCCTGGCCCTTCGCCCGGCCTTGATGTCTATGCTATACCCAAAACATTTATATATGTATTTACATAACTGGTATGACGTTGAAAACTTTCAATGTTAGATAGGTTAACTTAAAACAGATGAAAACTAGACATTTTTATGTACAGTAAAACGTATGAGAGAGAAAGCATTTTCATAGTTTTGAACAATCAAATTGCCCCCTTTTTATTAAGATAAACATGATAAATGCTAAGTTGTTTTAAGCTGTTCACTTTAGCGCCCCCTTTACATCTACTTATCAAAGACTAGAATTTAAAATAAGAAACGAAATAATGATAGTAAACAATCGTCACCCTATTTTTTGAAGACCCCCCTTTCCCTTTTATTTTATCAAAACCTCAAATATTTAAAACGTCAATATTTCAGGTTTTGAAGTGACTTTATCAAAAAAAAGTCACCCAGTCAGGGTCATTTATTTATCATACCGATTATTTGTGAGAATACTGATCAAGCTTTTTTTTCAAAGTGCGTTAATATGGTCGATTTTAACGCACTTTGAAAAAAAATTATTTTTTTAAGTGCGTTAGCTTGGTCCCAAATTTAACGCACAATGAAAATTTTTTCAAAGTGCGTAATTTTTTAAAATGTGTTAACGTTGTAACACACGTCATTTGGAACCTTTTCGGTTTTATCCATTTTAAGCTTAAATTACAATATACCGCTAATTATCAGACAATATCATCGTATAATCCTTAAATTCCGAAATTTTGAACTGGAATGTAAACATTAGCATATTTCAAATTCAGATTCTACACTACGAATTTAAATAGAGAGAGAAAGCTTTAGGTTGTGAAGTTTCATTCTGCGCAAATAATGAATTATTC